TCCCTTCCAACCCTGAACATTCTGTGATTTTGTGCTTCTCACCTGAGCCCATTCTGCACCACCCGGTTCCTACAGGTTCGCCAGCACGAGCACGCGTGGTTACACTCAAAGATGAGCGGTGGCTCGGCCATGTTGAATTCAGGCAGGAGTCGGCCGTCCTGAAGAGGAGAGGCATTCAAGACTGGGTTAGCTCTTTGTTACCTGTGAGCCCTCCAAAACCAAGGCAGGCCAGGAGCAGAAACTCCCTCGAGCATAAAAACAGGCCAGAGAACCTCAAGGTTCTCTGCACGTCCCAACCTCCCCAAAACCAGCATCAGACCCCAATTTCTGCAGTGGTTTGGCTCTGCCCCGACAGCAGCAAACTCGACACTATCACCGAGACTGGCTACATTTTTGTTGCCTGGCATCACCCTACACACCACCAAAAAACCTGAAAAATACAATCTTACAGTGTTGTGCAAAAAAAAAGGGTTCATTATTATCATTTTGCAGTGCTGGAGGGGAGAAGCAGATGCTTAATCTGCCTCTGGAATAAAGCCTAAATTTCTAGAGAGCAAGGCCTGTACACCCAAGTTCTGTGAGCCACGTTATCTTCCCAAATAACACTCCCCAAAAAGCTACAACTCAATTATTTACCAGCCATATAGGATTAAGGAAATGACAGACACCATTCATCACATTTAACAAATTTGGCTTTTAAGGCTTGAAAGATGCAATCACCTACTAACGTGTAAATAAAATGTCTACAAAGCAAAGAAAGATGCCAATATTCCCTCTGGGAGAAACTTGCAGAGATTCACAGAACTTCTGATCTTAGCAGAACCTGTCCAAATATTAACCTCAACACCTCCCCGGAGGACTGAAGCGTACTTACCCAAAACAAACCAGGCTTCTGGCAATGTTGCAGTTAAAACATCTTTACTTTGCCTTCATCCCAAAGGATCACAATAAAGCAAAGAAAGCCAAAACAACCTCTCTCTCTACTACCCTCCCCTTGTTTACGTATTACAGCGTTTTCTATGTAGCTCTGAAATGGAAGCCGATTTCACGCATGGATTATTAAATGCTCTCTATCACACGGGTATAATTAATGGCTCAGTTGGCACGGGAGTAACACACATAAATAACACTAGAAAAGCTTCCCTGAATACACATCTTGTTATTATCACATAAATCTCAAAGCTGAGACCAGATCTTTAGGCATTTGAAAACAGAAAGCGAGGAACTGTTTTAAAGGTGCTGTTATAAACCCTGAATTGTGCAAAGTTCAGCTGGCAAACACTGGTTCTAACCCCACCGGAGGTTCTGTGTCCTCACCTTGTCATACCAGCAGCGCATACTGAGTTGGCCACACATGCAGTTACTGGAGGAGCAGTCGTCTATACACACGCAATACTGGAAGAGAAGGGAAGGGATTAACTCCACACACCACTCACATGTAACTGAAAGAGCAACTTCTGTGACCGGATCAGAGAGGAAACCACAAGTCTTTGCATTCTCCTGCTACAGCTTCTTAGCCAGAAAGAGAACCAGCCTCATCAGTTTGGTGGCATTTTCACTCCATTGTTTATTTTCGTGTGCAATGAACGCGGAAGGACTGTCTTGCAGTACTACTCTCACAGTGAGCTATGTTTCCTTCTCACGAGAGGACGGCCCCCTGTGTTACCAACCTTCCTGCACGCCCTAGGAGCTGTACTCCACAGCTCTGAGGAGGGGCCGGAGCTGGGAGATGATGTAAAGTGACGTCTCAGCTCCCCTGTTGCTTGCTTCCTCCCATGTGGGTGCTCCAGGTGGTCACTTCCCAGTCAACAGGGTCTCACCGCCAGCTGCTGCTCAACAGGGCTCGGCCATGCCAAGTTCATTCTGGCCACCTGAGAGCTCTGCCCAGAGAGGGGTCACCCTCTCCTTACGCTTCCCCGCCTCTGCTTTCACCAC